ATTATTTTCTCCCTCACTTCCTTCGTCCGAAGATAAAATATTTCTTTTCTAAATATACCTTCTAAACAAACAACAACAGCCAAAAAAATTGTAAATATAGCATGGGCTGGGTACCATTTCGATTTCTTTCATAAATCATATAGAACAAAACCACTGAAAGAGTTCGGCAGTTAACATCTGGTAATATAAAACACTGTATAGTCTATTATATAACTAAATGTTATTAATATGCTCTCTGAAAAATGTCTTCCATATTTATCGCCATCCCTTAAAGTTATATATTCCATCAGATTAATCACATTAAGAAGTACACCAGAAAGCCAGAACACTGCGAGCCGGCTGCTCCAACCCAAACCTGCATATTTATATTTTTAACCCCCGAACTTTTCTTATTTTAATTTCAGGGTGACAGAGAAGTAAAAGGTATCCGAGGCTGCAAACAGTTGAGTGTACCTTTCACTCCTGACGTCCTGAAAAACGTGTACTTAAACATGTAATCAACCTTACTAATTATAATATATAGATTTACAACTCCAAAACAAAACATATTAACCACTATCTTATAATCATAATTCATTTTACGCCTCGAAACTAAACGTAGGACCCACTCTCATAAATGAAAGCGTCCACAAAAAGTAAAACAAATAAGGACATATACTTTAATTTGGAAAAAATTTGCTGAGCAAAATAAACAACCTTTCCTATAGTAGCTAAGCTCGAAAGTGATATCTCCCGCTAATTACCTACCAAAAGCACGTACGTTAGATCTACCCCGAATGAGCTAAATACCGAAAAAGAAAAAGAAATAATTTTCTCCCTCACTTCGTTTGTCCGAAAATGAAATATTTCTTTTCTAAATATATCTTCTAAATAAACAACAACAGCCAATAAATTGTACATATAGCATGGGCTGGCTATCATTTCGAAGCAACAAAGACGCAAGAAGTATAAAACTGAGATAAAACAATTGCTGCTTTAACATCACAGTTTGTTAAAAAGGTTAATATACTATGCCATATTATTTCCCTCATCACATTAAGGTATATAAAAGTTAAATTGAGTAAATCTGTTCTAGACACTATCTTATCTGTAAAATTATATTTAATTTAAACCCCAATATCGGATTAAACTCTTAAAACTTTAATACCCAAATGTTTATCAAGCTGTTACTTATTTATTAAACTATACTGAAGATATATATCTGAAGAAGTAGAGGACTTCCATCTCCCATGATTATTCAGTTTACCTACTAACAGAAATTCCCCGATTATTCACTGCAGCAGAGGCACCTCCTCTACAAAATCTATGTAGTTAAAATAAATCCTTGTTTTCTTCAATTGCCCCAATAGCCCCCAGAAAAATTTCTCTACTCCTAGTTTAAGACAAGTGAATGCTCGTGTTTGCTAAATGTACAATGTATTTATTTTGTTTCTTCAAAAAGCCTTAAACTGGTAAAAAATAAATTCTGAAAAAGAGAGACTGAGACCTGCGGCAGCGATATACCTTTCTTACCAAGATACCGGACATCGCTTATTTCCAGCGCTATCGATACATACTTTATAACCTTTACTAAATTGATCTGTTTTGCTGTTTTTCACATTGACTGACATAAAAGAATCATGAAAAGCAATATTTTTTATTTGTAAAGAAGCAAGTTCGCTAAAGCGTAAAAAACGAGAAACCAAGAATACACATAGTACTAATCCTTAAATCTTTAAGATAAGAACTGTCACTACTTTTATCATATAAATCAACAATACGTTGTAGCATACTAACTGTCGCCCATTTTATCATATAAATCAACAATACGTTGTAGCATACTAACAGTCACTGGTTGTTTCTGAGTTGCAGGTTTAGACAAAACGCTTTTACTTTCCTTCATACACTAATTTCACAAGTTCATTTTTACACGGATTATTTTGTAAAAACAGTTGATGTTTCCAGCTTAAACTGTAGAAATGAGCGTCTAAAACTCCGCCCGAAACGTTTTGTAATGTCAAATCACTCAAAAAACATTGACAGTCGATACTTCAGCTGGCAAATATTCAAAATCATTTTCTGTACACCACTTGGCAAATTTATTAAAATACAAGTCATATTTTTGATTTGTATTCTTGGCTTTGGAGGCTCTGGCCAAATCTGGTATCTTGAGCGCTGTAGTTTGGAGGAATTCTATATGCGACAATTTGTGTTTCTCAACCCAAAGCAAGCTGCATTGGATATTCCTTTCCCCGTAACGCCTCTTCCGTAACCATTTTGGAGACTTTGTTCATTTCCGACCGAATATCCTCGAAAAATAGACTGGTTCCGAAATGACCTTTGAAATGACTGAGCTGACATTGATTGATGAGTTGAGATAAGTTGACGCTGACTGACGTCATAAGGCTTGGATTTGCGTGCCCTATTAGCCCTGGAAATTGCTCCCCGCAGTTGACGGCGTCTTCGTCATCGTCAGCCAAAGCATCATCTGCTACAGTATCCCAGCCATGACAGTCGGCAATCTTCAATAATTTTTTGCGTTTGTTAATAGTTTCCGCTTCGGTGCTCACAACTGTTGAAATAGCATACGCATTTACCATTTTAGATGAACAAAGATATTCAATTCTGCCGAACACTTCTAACCTGTCGTTGTTAAACAAAAAAAAATGTCTTTTCAAACCTTCGTTTTTAAAGTCAAATTTTCTACGTTGCCGAACATGGATTATATTTCTTATAGAAATACGTCTTTCTGACGAGATAATGCGTGTTCCTACATGAGAGAAATACATCTTATCCTGGCTGACTTTCTTCTTGACGGCCCCTTTAAGACGATAAACTCGCTTCGTTATGTTCACTTTCTTCCGCACAACACATATCATATGAAACAATTAACTGAGCAATAAACACTCTTTCTTATAGCTTACGTCGAAAGTGATATCTCACGCTTATTAACCATCCGAAGCAGGTTCGTAATCTACCCTAATGAGCTGAATATAACCAAGAAAAGACGTTAAAAACGCATACCACCAAATAATGATCGATCGGTCACATATAACATATTTAAGGTTTCATTAGACATAAAATGGTCACATAAAGCATTACATGTTCAACCTCTTGCCTATTGGAATATCCCCAGCCGGTTATATTTTTACAAAGGTTTTGCAGAAAAACTGCGTAGCTAGGGTTAAGGAGTCGTATTATGTTTTTTTTATGACAGCCTTAGTGGTGATTAGACTTTTACTTAAGTTATATTAAGGGATAGTTCTTTTATTAGATTAGAAATAGCTGGAAAAAGTTCTCCCTCGATAACGCAAGCGTCGCCGTTGACGTCAGTGGATCAGGATTTGGTAGTTCTGTTGATGGAATAGACGAAAGTCAAGTCTTTGGTACGTGATCAGAATCTGAGCAGAATTTCAGCTAGAGATGAGAGCTAGAGGTTTTTCGGGGGATATATTTATTCTTCTGCAGGAAAGTAAAGTTTGAATAACTTAAGACATCAGAAGTGTATGTTTAATTTTGAAAATTGACAGTAAGAACCTTATTCGAATGATATATGTGCCAATTTATGATGTTTGCAGGAAGCATGACAAATCTTTGTTTCCTCACTGGATTTTAAGGACAGATAACTCTGAGGCTGACTTTCTCAGCAGATGCTCTGACAGTGACGACTGGTCAGTTACAGACTAGACGACAAGCATGTAACATTGGCTAAATATCAAAATATTATAAATCACATGTTTGCCTTTTCTTAAGAAAAATATTGTAGGGCAAAGTGTGCCTTTTAGTACTGGGATAATCTAAATATAAAATTGAAGACTCATCAATCCAATCGCCGGGTATTTATGCCAAGCTCATACATTTATGATCAAATAAGAATATGACCGTCCTAGTAATAAACAGCTGACACGATCTTCTTACCTTTCTTCTTATCTTTAGAAATTACACAAGAAGTTAAACATATTAGTTTGTTTGCTTGAGTTAAACGTCATACCGACACAGTATAGGTCATATGGCGACGTTCTAGCCTTACTGGTAGTGTAAGACCTAGGGTGCTCTTCTGTAGCCCCTGAGTATAATCACCTAAGTTCCGTAAGATAGCTGGATAGATTTCTTACATGAAAGAATCCTAAGTCCCTGTCGGGATTCTTCCCCTACAGCGGCGAGAGGCAAGTGGTCCGAAGTCAACGACCGTAACCACTCGGCCACGGACGCCCCTCAAATTATCAGTACATTGCTTTCAATATTCTGTAAGGTTTATTTAAAATAATATTTTACGTGGAATTTATTTACCCATTTTAGCATACATTTAAACAGTATTATTTGTTTACAAATACAGGTACATAACTCGAGTTGTTCATGAAAACAATAAAGTTGCTTGGTTATAGTTCCTTGATAAAATTAAAAGTTTGCTAGGCGACATTAAGTAAACCTACTGTGAGAAATGTTGAATAAATATACAATATCACACATTCAGATGTATGACAATTAATCTTAAACTGAATATTTTTCATTCTTATCATATTTGCGACTATGAGCACAATGAACTACATGTATAGAAAAAAGCATGATCAATTGACATGTTTTGGCAGTTATTTTATCTATTATATTAGCCCTTGCTGCACACACAGAATGCATTACGCTTTATATATTATTGTAACGTTTCAACTGTATATTTTCCGATTATTAAAGATATTGAATAATCAAAACGACATCTGTCACTTTTAATCGATGCTTTTAATTCATCATTAAAACCTGGGAGTCTGAAGCTAAAATGCGATTCATTATATATACTGTACTACAAATATAGTATATTTATTATTGATTCACACGTTCTAAAAAGTTGTTCTTTACAAAAATTTATACAACTTGTTATGAAGTAATCTTGTTCTTTTTCTGACTTAACATTGTATATTATGGACTGGACGCCTTATTATCAAACGAATATATCTGCACTGTTGCATTAAAGTACATGTATGTGTTCTTACAATATTAAATAACTTTAAGACAAAACTAAAACAAAGTCTAGGTACATATTGTTTTATTTCAGTCAATTTACATGGTAAATTAGTGAATGACTTTAAGTGTTGTCATGTCAACACGACCGTAATATGCTAGAGTGAAAAGGTGGGCTGAAAAAAAGCAACAAAAAATAATATTACAAATTTCAAATGTACAATAAATAGAGGATACTGAATGAGTGTAAGTTAAATACTGAATTTATTAAACGAGTTGAACAAGATGATATTATGTCAGTAACTGGAGAGCATAATATTTTATTATTCAACGAGTTCGATTAATTTAGTAATAAAATTACTCGAATTTACTGTTCTATTTATCAAATATCAAAAATTAAGATTGTTTAAAGGAACTCAACTGAGGTTTTTTTGACATAACAATACTTGAAATAACTTTTCGAGATTAATGTTCAATTTAATGTAGGTTTATACCAATAACTTTTTGAACAATTTCAGATTATTCGCTCACTCCGATTTTCCAGGATATTTATTTGACTTGTAACAAAAGAACCCAAAACTGAAAAGCTTTTCACTTAAATCGGACTAATAATATCACACAAATACGATTTTCAAGTTATATTTATTTCTTGATAATCTTTTTGCATACCTTTCTTTTTAAAGTGTCCTAGCCAATGTATATAAAAAATTCAAATATTTTCTTTAAAGGCTTTTGACATCAAATGAGTTTCTTTAAAATGTAAAAGAATAATTTTATATTGTAGCGCCTACATACTAGTATATTTTAGTGCGTCTTAACGCTATGTTTATATAACGTAAATGACGCCACATCAATATATATGCACGGCCGTGCAATACCATTTTCACGCTGTCTCAAAATCGGCACGGTTATGTGATAATGCATTCGACATACAAGTTACAATGTGAATATTGGATTTTGAGCCCCATTTCTTCATCTCCTCCTTCTTTTATTAAGATAAGTGTTGGTGAATATTAATGATAGTTACTTTATATTCATGCTTGCAAAAGAACTGGTATCTTCGAAAGAAATAATTAAAATATATCATTGCTACAAAAGATGATATTGCTTTACTATTCTGGTATTTGCATGACCCGTGGTTACATCCACTATCACCACAGCAAGAGTTACACGTTTCTGTCGATCTCTTCTTAGCAGATCCACAAACAGCGTTCCATGACAAACCATAGTCTGGTTGTGTGACGTTAAGTACACACAGCTTGTAATGATCATATTGAAGTTTCATACCATAACGGCACATCTGTAACAAGGCACAGTGAAAATATACATAAAACAAAATAAAATATATCCCAGATATTTCAGTAGTGAATCATAAGCTAATTCTTAAAGTGAATATAACGTATACTGTTAATACTCAGCAATATGTTGAAACATGATTTGAATTTTCACTTTTTTATATCCTATTGAAACATTTCATATAATATGTAAACTTGTGTATAGGGCATTATAGCAAGCCCGCACAACTCAATCGGTAAGAGAGCGAGACTTGTAGTCTCGACATTGTGTTTGTTAGATTCCCGGACCGGCCAACTAAAATTAGTAATCAATCTCTTTGATGAGACATCAATGTATGAGTGCTCGAACACTTGGCACGCTAAAGAAGCAATAGAATTTTCTAGAATTGGGGCATCTTTCTATATCTGTATCTTGCACTCTCTAAAATATGAATTGCCACTCTGCTGTAAGACTCTTCCATATTGGCAACCGGTTTCGAATTACACACACCATAAGTGCGTCCGTGGTCGAGTAGTCAATGTACTTGACTTAAAACCACTTGCTTCTATCGCCTTAGGATCGAGCCCCACAAGCCGTTAGAAAACTGTAGAACTAGCTAACGGGACGTCGATTGTTTTAAAAAGGTGACCGTTTATGTCTAAAAGTCGCATTATGAACTAGACTGTGTTGGTGCGAAGTATAACCCTGCAGAGATAATTTAAACATTAAAGGATTTTACCAGTTTTGATCTACACCCGTAAGTAAACGAACTATGTCCTCCTACAACGTTTTCTGTCACATAACACATCTGTTAAAAGAAATGAGATAATCAACCTCTATTTGACATGACTAAATCAACGAATTACCTGACACAATTCCAGTGTATAAGGGATACTCATATGTACAGTCAACGACGTGAAAGAAGATTTACCCCTTAAACCAATTGTACAATAATTATTCGTTAACAACATACAATCACATGACTGAATTGTATTAAGCATTCATTTCTCCATATTTAACATAACAACTTTAATTTCTTTATCAACCTTTTAAAAACATACATACAATTTTATGCCTTTGAGCATTTTAATGACCGATATATCAACCCAAATATATTAAATGGACCAGCGCTGATGGCTGAAGATGATAGATCAATATATTCAGCACTCATTGCTATTTCTTGTAATGTACCGCTCTTTATCAGAAAAAGTTGTAGCATTTATGAAATAACAATGGAATTTTACATAAAACAATTAAATGTCAGCTTTAAAATGCGTTTTTTTTTCTGTTTGTACCACATTTTAGCACTGTAATACAATATTGTTAAAAACGCTGATGAATTAATTTATAGGACTTTATATCAAGTATGGTATTTATATCACAATTATATATGTGCTTTATAGATTAACTATGTTCAAATTTTATATTATAAAATATTGATAATTGCTTCACAATTTCTATATGAATATGAAATAAACATGTTTTGACATATATATGAATTTTTTACAAAACTTTTCACTAAAGGATGAGCATAGTATATCTTTTACATTTTCATTCATATGTAAAACATTTCTGAATTCAATTGTCATCTTCACAGTTAACAAATCGCAAGACAACAAGTCACCGTTTTAATTAATGGCATTAAGGTTTCAACGAAATATGAACAAAAAATTTCCTTTTGATTCAAATTAATTGTTAAGGGTTTTTTTTCTTTCAAGATGCTTGTCAAGTGTACCTCATTTGGCTGGCAATACTCCTGTGTTACACATTGGTGCGGTTGTGCGACACTATGACCTTGTCCATCACCGCATGTGTAGCAACGAATTGGTGAATTTGGCGATGGTGTTGTCGTCGAGGTTGTAGTTTTAGTTGTTATAACAGGAGCCTTGGTTGTAAGTGTTCCTCCAAAAAAAAACATGATGAAGACATGTGACATTGTTTCTGTATCAACTTCAAGTTTTGTAAGCGGAATTAAAATGCAGTGACATAAATTATTTACTGATAAAATATATATAATAAGTTAGGTTGTTGAAAGAAATAACCTAATTCCTAAAAAAACTCGTTTAAAAGTCATTATTTGAAGGTTATATTAAGTGGGACTTATATTCAATCACGACTGATTGCGAGAATACGTACAACGTATTTTCAATTGAAAAGAAAAATAAGAGAATCAATTTGAGTCATCTTTTGAAAATGATGAGGCTTATAGTGAACTTGGTCGTTGTCCATTATTTTTCAGTGTGATAAGATAAAGTATAGAATAGTTGCAGATGCTCATGATCTTGAATAATTATACTCTGCTAACAATTAATGTGACAACATGGGAATAATGAGTTAGGCTTCTAGTGTTTATTTTATACATCATAATCTAAATATACCAATCACTTTATTTTCTTCAAAAACATTTAGTTCTCTCGAAACCAAGCTAATAGAAGTATAAAAAGTAGTACTGAAACTTAGGACTTATGCACTTTTAAAAAAAAACATTCTGCAATTAGGAAAAACTATCCTGATATCAACGATGACGGAAAATTTGATCATGCATGATAAAATTTTGAATTATTGCCCATGAATCTGAAAATGAGACTGATATATACAATAGAAAACTCCAGCAAATGATAGAATATTTATGCAGTGTGTTTCTGATGATCTTTGGGTTTAACTTTGGGAGGTTTTGACCAAACTAAACGATGACAATAATTATAATCAACAGTTATTATGGCAATGTAAGAATTTTCATCTTTTGATTCTTTAACAGAAGTAAAATTATTTTTCTATGAATAAATTAACTATATGATAATGCGCCAGAAGAGTCGACTCTTTTGCAGATTTTATTTGCAAGGATTGTGTCATTTGCTAACATTGTTGAATTGTCGTTTTTCTTAAGGCCACTGTTGTCATTTGAGATGTATAGCTTCTTCGTGTATTATTTTGTTATTTGTGTTGAATCAAGCCTTATTTTCTGTATTGCTATAATGTTAATATAATGTTATATGTCCGGTTTATATTCATACATTATAATAATATAACATAAATTGTATTTGTCTTTCTTGAAAAGGCTGGTGATGGGAAAATAAAATTATTCTGATCTACTCTATTATATTCGGAAAATTTCATCAAAAGAAAACGTAACAAAAACTCGTAATATGTTTTGTATAAGAACGCAAGTAAACAAACAAACAAACAAACAAACAAACATTATTCCGCCAAGTTGTAAAGCAAGTGTATATATGTCCATACCATGTGTTAATCCGCAAAGTGCCCTATTACAGTCATGCGAATTGCAGCATCTTGAAAAGAAAACAAACGTTTTAAAGTATGACCACGCTAACGGGTACTATAAAGGATCTGAAGAATTGACAACATAGGTCAGATATGTGCTTTAAATGACACCTGCATGCAAAATTTAAATACAATTGGTTTACAAGTTATGGCCATTTTTCTAAACTTGAGCTTCGATTTGCCCTTTTCCAAAAATATTATAATATGATCTATAAATAGCTTTAAAATGACTTTCTCCGCCTGGTTAAGATTAATTTTTCGTAAACATTAACTAGTGATTATTACCATTTTTTTCTCTAAAAATATATTTTCTAGAAAGCCCCAAAAAGACGCGTGCTTTGACGTGACGTCACGCCAAGTTTGTTGTTATTTTTCTGAGAAAACGTTAGGCAGCTCGCCACAAACGTCAAATTAGTCTATTTAAGTTATTGTCTTGACATTTTAAAAAATATTTCGAATGTAGCGTGCCAATGCGCTCATTAAAATGTCGGAGCACAATAATGAAAATTGTAGACAAGCTTAAAAAAATGTAGATTTCCGTCGTATTCATTGGCAGAGTTGATATCCCATATAAAAGCGATTTAAAGATTATACAATAAAGCAGATATGTACTTTTTAGCTGGTGAATATGTTGTAATATGTACTAAAAATTGAAATTGACCTCGGCGATATTAATTTTTTCAGTACATATCACATTATATTAACCAGCTAAAATTCCATATTTCAATAGTATCCTCATGAGAATGATCTCCCAACAATAATTGTTGAAAAGAAAAACATTCAGCTAACAATCCACACTTGCAAAATGATTGTTTCTAATCAAACTATGAAATAAGTATAAACATGTTACCTTTCCCCTCCCATTTTTAACAGTATCTGTTGTTATCTTACTAACAGGGCCTAGTTTAAAAAATCTGTAAACTCTACGTTTATGTTAGTGTTCATACGTGCTGTTCTGCAAAACTTATAACTTCGATACATGTAGCAACAGGAGAATGTTTCTAATTTCTGTAGAACAGTTACTGATGAATACTAACTTATTTAAGTGTCACGATTTATTTGGCTTCATTAAAATTCACTTTAAAATAACGTCACAACTATTTATACGGACACAGTTCTATGAAGCACTATGTAAAATAGAAGGCGACTATGAACGGAATTTGATATAGTATCGGCTTTTGTATTTCTATGAAAATTAATACATAGAATTTTGAAGAAATACAACGTTTTCATAGAATGACAAATAAAGCTGGACACTAATATCAGAAAGGGTCCTTATTTTGTTCCTAGCTATATATAAAAATAGAATTATATGTATTCATGTGCACACTTGGTCTTTTTATCACATTATCACATGTATAACTGGATCGCTGATGCCAAGAAAGCAAAGTCACCCTGCATTAAGTGTCTAAAGACCTACCACTGTATAAACAATACATTTGTATATTTACTTACCTTGAGCACGCAGTCATGTCCCGTTTTCTGCCAACCAATGATGCAAGCTTGCATATCTAGTTAAAACGAATATATCAAAAAATAAACAATATAAATAATATTTTCACTTTTTATATTTCCGGAAAGAGGTACCTATACATGTAAATCTAAAATAATCAAATTCACCAAGTTCAACAGCTAATAAAGTTTTTTTAAATGATTTAAAGTCTGCTATGAGGATTTTATATGAAAATTCAAAACATGTTGTGTTATTTGTTACAATAAATGTCGTCTCCGCCTAGCAAATTTTTACGAATATGAAAAATCACGGAGGGTAACTACGACATATATGTGTTTTTCATGTTGCTCTACCTTCTTTATAGTCATTGGGAGTTTTGTTTCATTTTGAATGTATATGTATTTATGTGTTGCTATTTATTACACCTTCTGTAGCATTGCTCTTACCATAATTTACTTTTAGGGGACGTATATAAGGTTTGGTGCACATATTACATTACATTCCTATAAATCTCTTCAGAGGTGTACCCGTTATTGCTAGTTTGAAGTTCCTTTTCCTAGGCCGTGAAAACAGTGTAATTTGCAATGCATAGGCGTCCCAACATTAACAAGTTGTGTTAAGTTTGTTTTGCATAGTCGTATATCGTTTCGTGCGTCCTGAACGATCTCTGTGCTTGTGTTATTAACTTTAGTTTATTTACTTCTTCAACTTGTCATTGTTTTACTTGAATGTGGGTGCCAGTATACCTTCTTGAAAAGTGTTATATCACGTCAACATTCGTCTACTGTTACTTGTGTCAATCACCAATAATGTACGCAAAAGTTCAAATGCGCAAATTATCTGGTTGGTCTAAGTTATTAATACAAAGCTTCATTACATAACTGTACTACCGCGCACGGATTTTTTTTACCGATCTCTATTTTGTGCTTATAGAAACAGAAAAAAAGTGATTTGTTTAATTACATAGAGCAAAATAGTATTAAATGACAATAATTTGGCTTAAATTATATGACGTAAAGGCTTTATTTTTTCATGCCTTGTAAAAACCGTTTTTATCACATAGCTTTACCGCTTCTGAGACTGAGTAAATTGGTATTGAAATTTTTTTGAACATGCACTCAATATCATGCAATTATGCCCCGACTATTCTATCTCTTTAAGGTATTAGCACCCTAATGCATTACCTCCGCTTTGAAGAGTATTCAAATAGGCTAGAACTACTGTTAACTACATTGAAAATGAGGGCCATGGGTTCAATCCCCAGAAGGGTCAACTTTTTTTTTCTTTCTTTTTTTCTTTTAACATTATTTATGTATCTCTCATGTCCCATTTGGAAAGAAAAAAGTGTTTAATTTTGATTTTTTAATTTATATAGGTATTTATTGGCTATATTATGCTTAATCTAGTAATAAATAATTGGTACCTGATATTTTCAAAGTGTAATATAATCAAAACAAGACGGTAAAAGTATTTCATATTTTACAAGATCAACCAAAATACTTTTTTAAAAATTTAGGGAAACTTTGAAAACAGGCACTCATTTGGGTAAATTTTAAGAATTTTTTTAATTAGGCTCCCTAAGTAGAAAAATGGTCAGACACATGGTAAAAATGGGTGGGGTAGGGTAACATTTTTATACAGATTTCATCAATTTTAAGTAGAAACCATAATTTTGCTTATTTGGATTGTTAGCTGAATGGTACTATTTGTTTCTTACTAAAAATTAATGGGAAAACATTTTTCATTAGAATGTTATTGCAGATTATTTAAAGGTTCCTACTTTCTAAAAAAGGGCCCTCATAACATCCTAGCTTGAGTTCAGAAAAGTGGCCATAACTTGATTTCCGTACGGTAAACTTTGTTTAAATTTTGCATACAGGTGTACTTTAAGGTATACATCTGACTTATGATGTCAATTTTTTAGTTCCTGATAGTGCCCATTAGGGTCCTAATACCTTAATAGGGAAGTCACTGCCGTCCATGTACAGCCTGTAACGATTTTATCATTTTGCAGTTATTGCAAATGGTCTGGAAAATAGAACGACACGGACAGAAAGAGAGAATGGATTACAGATGCAGAGCTTTATGGAGTGATGGAAGATTTACTCAATGCAATTGCATAATTTTATGGTTTCTCATATTTCTCATGTTAAAATTGTTTTTCACGATGCATTTAGAAATGTTAGTGGGATGAAGTATAACGTTACATAAAAAATAAACTCACCGATTTAGCTCGGCATCCAGCATTGAAGACAACTGTAAGAGAGTTTGTGATCACTTTGTCTATGAAGCATTCCTGGGGTATACAAAAAAGATTATTAAAACAGACATAATATTACATTTTATGAAACTTTTGTTTTTTTGACATTGTAAACTTGGTACTGCTTATGAATAGGAAGTATTGTGAATTCAGTGTAATACAAACGAGAAAGGTGTGTTTTAAAACCATTCAAATTGTCTGAGAGACTTGTTTTTGTTTTTTGTTGTTTTTTTGTAAAATAAAACAAATGTGAACGTTCTTTTGTCCTGTCATGAAACTAAGAAGTTTTCCTTACATTATTTATACTTTTGTGCTGAATATTGTTAACAATGTCTTTAATATAGTTTCAAAGCAATTAGAATCAAGACTCCTCTTAAGACATAAATAGCTCATCTGGGAAATAAGATTGAACATTTTTGAAAATTTTGATCAGAATTTTGCGCATATTTGTGTGGCGTTTCTTCGTCGGTGCAAAAGTCTATTCAAGTTACGGACATTTTATTTCTGTTTAAGCTCAAAACTGGAAAAAAAACTGCAAAGGCTTCTTTTCCAATAAATCTGTATTAATTGAAAACGAGTCTGTTTAAACTAATAAAAAAGATTATTATCCGCCGCAGAATATGTCTATCTTAAACTAGAGTTTCCAGATAGCATGAAAGCTATTTAATTGATAGATATTCAATGATACCTCCATTGTGTTGTCACAAATTATCCGATGTGGACAGTCGGAGAGCGTTGTTGCCTTGTCACATGACCGACATATCAAATCATGCTGCGCAAAACCTGGATATGTAAAGACTGTATTCATTTTAACAAATCAAAATTAGATATAAAAGATGAAGTAATAGAAAGTTATTAATTACGCAATAAGATATTATTTTTCTTTGCCTGTTTTTGGGGTGTGCCAACTAGTCACATTGTAATATGTAGCAAAACATGTGCTATCGGACTTAATTAAAAATACGCCATTTGTCAATTCTCATTTAATACTGACCTGTATCATATAAGCCACCATAAGACAATTTCAGATCAGTGCAAACATTATATGCTTCTTTTACAATGGTATACGAGTACATGTGTCTATGTGTGACAATTTATTATTATTACTCCTCACTTGAAAGTGCATTACTTCACATTAGAGGAGTAAGTATAAAGATATAAGCAAGGAAGTGGTCCAAACTGTTAAAGATTGTTCATGTCACATCTACAAAAAAGCTTTTTAAGAAAGAACTTTTATACGTTCGTATGCAAAGCAGCACGTAACAACGAGCACACATGTAACGACCGGTGAACAAACTAACACCGCCTGTGCAAAAGACAATACTTGTAAAAGAATGCCGAAATGGGGGAAGGAAAAATAACGACCAAATGTATGAACTTACTAAGATTGATGCTGATAACAAATACCAATGATATCAACATACCTGTAAAATACAGCAGTGGAAAGAAACAATTTTCATATAAAACTGTAATAAAATACAGAATGTCAATAAGAATAAAAAATTATCTAACTTCTGAACTGAACTTCTTAGTGATTTATTTCAGAAAGGTAAATTATGAAAAAATGCAACACTGTTTAAAAAAAAATTATTTGTATGCTTCCAAACAAAATACGTTTAATTAGTTTTTATGGCGTGTTATTCACATCTTCCTGTTGTGTTATATAATATCATTAATTAAGTAGTACCTGTTGTGTTATCTAATATCATTAATTAAGTAGTACCTGTTGTGTTATCTAATATCATTAATTAAGTAGTAACTTACTACAGTGTGTCATCCTGGGTGTTGCAGACTACAATCACAGAATAAATAAAGAAGTTGAAAATCCTGAAAAAGTGTATGACTTTGTATTATTATTCATCTACATTTAATTGTATCAATATACTTAAAGTTATCTCCGACTGCTAAAGAACTAATTTTATAGTACGATCATTGCTTTATTTTCTTTTAAACTTTCAAATACAGAAATGATAATTAATTATAAGGCATTGATATATACCATTCAACCATGAAATGTCTGGAAATGGAGATCACTCGAAAGGAATGAAACAAATAAAAATGGGTCTAGAAAGATAGAGACGGCCCATGAGCAACAAGTAGCATGTCCCCTTTCACTGGCCCCAGAGCAAGGGAGGATTTACTAAATGCGCTGTTTTAATAATCCCGAACTTATTATATAAATATACACATAAATAACACATATAGTAGACCTTTGTATTAATTTGATTCAAGCATGCATATTAGATTATGTGTTCATCGATTCGTCGAGTTAAAACTTCATTCAAATGGTTTAACTTTTGCATAATACCGTGTTAAGATAGAAATATTAATCAATGAAATCTTACCTTTGTATTACTTTAATATCTAGCATGCATATAAGATAATTTCTTCATGAAATCGTCGGGTTAAAATGTCATTCAAATGGTAAAACACTAAAAACTTTTGTAAGAGCACAAATAATACGCGATATAGATGAAAATTAATACTTAACTGTACTTTTTGTAAGGTATTGGAAAAGGGTCATGTAAGCATTGTTTGTGCGGCCTGTCCAAAGAATGCAAATATTTAAAAATAAATACAAAATATTATCAAATCATGTAAAATATGTACAAATATATAATCATTTAAAACATAGTTTTGATTGGAAACAAAATAGCCTATCCTAATTATTATAACCTTAACAGAATATTATCTTTTTTATAAAACTTACTTTTTTAAGTAGAGAAAAGAAATTTATATTGTTGATGTTTATATGTATACTGACTGTTACTTGAAAAACAAATACAATATCAATAACCCGAATAACATACTTAACGTTAACTAAATAAAATTTCATTGATTATTAAGTCTGTTAACATATAATTTGTTGCTTTCATAGATTTTAAAAGTTTTTAATTTAACACCCTTAGATAAGTTTTAACTATTGTCTTAAGAAAGAGTCAAATTTCGGAATTAATTTGAATATAACATGTGTACTTACTGTGACAAAGGTATGTTCAGTTATAGAGAGATAAGGAGATATCTAACCTTAAATGGTGGCCTTTATAATCAAAATCATGCATATGAACTCGGTAAATTCCGCCATTTTCCGTATGCCATGGCTAATTGAATTAATATTTAGAAAATAGATATCAATTTTCAGTGCGTTGTTGCAAAATAAAAGTTTTATGACCTAATCTGTGACGTGGACGTTTCCCTTTGTGTCTTGTTCATATATACCGTGTATAGATACACTCTACTGCACGATTATTAGATGAATAGTGTGAGAATATTTTCTGATAGTACTTCTCAACTTGGATCTCTGCATCTGCGGATGATTCTAAATTCAAAATTATACTATTACATGTATATTGTTGAATACTTCTTAAGCCGGTGGACTGTAGATTGCATTTTCCAGTACTGTACATGAACCCTGCAATATTTTCAATTCTGCCGTTTTGACTTTCTTTATGGATTCTATTTCTCTCTATGCTAATCTTACATAAAATTGTATAAATACAGGCAGCTTAAAATTCTAAATAAGAAGATATAAACCTTTTAAGATAAGTGCTTATAAACCCTGGCAAATTAGTCATTGTTCTTTTACAACATATATCCAAATGTATGTAGATAACCATTTAGAAATGTTTGTATCCACTTAACACAATATATGTCGTATTATTGGTAATTTATAACTAAAATGTAATATATATGAATATGGCAATATTCGTTACTATTATACATGTACAATTATAGCAAAACTCGTTTAAATTTCGTCAATTTTGGATCCGGATCCGACTGATACACCATGTAAACGTTACAATGATTTATATTAAAAAAATACACTTTTAGATTTGCATTATGAGATTTTTGTTAAGGGCATAAATTAATTGTAGTATAAGAGGTGATAACAGTATTATAAGTGTTTAAGTAGTATAAGAGGTGATAACAGTAACTTAGAGAATCACCACGACTGTCTGTAAGAATTTAAACGATATTTAAAGCATATCTATGAGCTGTACACATTTGTTTAAAATTTTTACAGCTAAAACTTAGCTGAATGTTACTTGGACCTTCTCCGAAACAAAGGACAAAAAACTCTTGTGCCAAAGAATTGTAAATCAAGAAGATGTGATAGTTATGAAATGAAAATGATTCTTAATTTTACAATTTTAGTAGTAGTTGTGGTTTTAATGAAGTAACAGAAGTGATAATGATATTGCTCGAAATAATAACTGCAGTGGTGGAAGCGGTAGTAGAATGCTGCTGCTTGCGGTTAGGAGCCTTGTGATTTTATTTTGGTAGTGGTAATCCTAGTTTTTCTTCTAAAAATTCATTGACACCGGCTATTTTAATTCCATTTTTAAGTTAATATAAAATATAGAATTCATGACAATAAGCAAATAATTTTAATGATATCTTGATCACGATTCTTAATCTTTGTGAGCACGGTACCTGGCGTAATAATAATAATAATAATTAATAATTAATTATTATAATAATAAATAATGAATCAATAAATTAAAAACAACTCGCTATTATCGTTCTCTTTATTTCAGAATAAATCATCACATATTTATAACATTCTGAATTATAAATATCATCCAACAATTTTTGCGGATCTGAAATAAATGTAACGTACTACATGTACTACAGTATACTTTATTATGAATATTTCGAATTTTTATTACGGAAATAACATTAATGATACCAAACATATTCACTCGACGATATTTATAAAAATAAATAGTAGAACAAATGATATTAATATATTTAAGTCTGAGGATTCACCATAAAGTGACTTACTCTTACTCAACAACGGTGAGAGACAATAGATATTATGTCACCGACTTGTGCAACTCACGCAAGCCTGTTTGAAAATCTACAGAAAAGACGACTTACTCTTTTTCGCAAAGAAATCCAAATGCTTTGTCACAGTGTTCATCGTTCCATTGGAAGTTGTAGCGGGCGAAAAATGTCAGACAATCTTCGTTACCGCCATTTTGGTTTGGTTCATTGGGACCCCAATCTGATATTTCAAATCTAAAGCGGTAAAATATGGATCATTGCACGAGTATGTAAAAGAGATTGTTCATAACATTTGGTGTTTCAGGATAGGTACATTTCTTTACTGTTGTTAATATCAATGTTAAAACCTAACATGACTTTCCTTCAAAATCAACATTTAATTTACAAATGAATGAATTTT